TTATTTATTTATTTGAGAGAGAGAGAGAAACAGCATGAGAGGGGAGAGGGTCAGAGGGAGAAGCAGGCTCCCCGCTGAGCCGGGAGCCTGATGTGGGACTCGATCCCAGGACTCTGGGATCATGACCTGAGCTGAAGGCAGTCGCTTAACCAACTGAGCCACCCAGGCGCCCAAAACCCTATTTTAGAGTAAGAGACTCCTGCAAACTTCCTATTAAGCCAAGAAAACTGCTTTTTGAAATCCTTTCACCAGTCCTAATTCTTTTTTTTTTTTTTTTTGCTTTTATTCTTGATAAGGCTGATTCAATAATCCCCCTCACGCCATCCAACTCTCTTGCGTTTCCTAGAAGTGTTTGTACCTGTGTCTCCTAGCTTTATCTAAATCACACTTCCATTCAGAGTCTTCTGTCCTTGGCATAGTTACATACCTTTACAACCTATTCCATCTTTATTAATATTTTATCTCATTTAATGAGTAGTTTTTGTTCTGGCTGGGGCAAATACTAGATGTTTTTGGTAAGTCCTAGAAGATGTTGCTGTTATTTATGTCATATGTTCAACCATTTTTGCTTTGTTTTGGTTTTGTTTTTTAAGAAGAAAGAATTTATTTATTTATATTCTTCATTTGCTAGAGAGAGAGCAAGAGAGCACTCACACGTGCACACACAAGCAGGGGGAATGGCAGGCAGAGGAAGAAGCAGGCTCCCTGCTGAGCAAGGAGCCCGATGTGGGACTCAATTCCAGGACCTTGGGATCACGACCCGAGCTGAAGGCAGATGCCTAACCGACTGAGTCGCCCAGGTGTCCCTACTTAAATAAAATCTTTAAAAAAAAAACCAAGTCTTAAAAACAGACTCATAGCAGTCCCTGCCATTTGACAGCAAACTCCCAGCGCCCAGCAACTAGTAATCTGCTTTGTCTATGTATTTGCCTACTTTGGCTATTTTGTATAGGTGAATGTTCAACCATTTTTGAATCCAAAATTCCTTAATTTGTCCCAAACCCCCTTTTCTGGCTAAGAATTAACCCTTTCTTAGCTCATTCTCTCTCCATTATATTACTACCAAGAAGTACTATTTTTCTTAGTCACTTGAAGACTATGACTTGGTAAGTGAAGATTATACAGAACCTGCAAACTCAACAGAGATGCAAGTGCTTGTGGTCAGAGAGGACCAGTTGTTAACATTTGAACCGCCCTGTCAAGCTCACCATGTGGATGACGGAAGTCTCAGGTGTCTGATTACAAATTACTCTGTCATGAACCTTCTGCTTCCTTGCCATCAGCCAAACCAAGGTTAAGTTCATCATGTATATCAAAGTCCCACTGCTTAATATAGGGAAGTGTCAGTCTTAGAGTTAATTATTTAACATTGCTTAATAATTTGTTCCAATCTTAAGGGGCACCTGCGTGCCAAAGTTGGTTGGGAGTCCGACTTTTGGTTTTGGCTCAGGTTGTGGTTTCAGGGTCATGAGATTGAGCCCCATGTAGGGCTCCAAGCTCAGTGCAGTGTCTTCTTAGAACTCTCTCCCTCTCCCTCTCCCTCTCTCCCTCTCTCCCTCCTCCCCATGCACTCTCTCTCTCTCAAATAAGTAAATCCTTAAAAAAATAATTTATTCCAATCTTAATAGTGGCAAAGAAAAATTAGTTTTAATACAGATAGATTTCCAGTTTTGTGTGTTAAATGAAATTACAGAATGTTTGCAAAACCTGATTAAAATTTGCAAGCCTGGGGCGCCTGGGTGGCTCAGTCGTTAAGCGTCTGCCTTCGGCTCAGGTCATGATCCCAGGGTCCTGGGATCGAACCCCCATCGGGCTCCTTGCTTGACGGGAGGTCTGCTTCTCCTTCTCCCACTCCCCCTGCTTGTGTTCCCTCTCTCGCTGTGTCTCTCTCTGTCAAATAAAAAAAAAAAAAATTTGCAAGCCTATTCCTACAGCTTAGGGAGGGGATATGCAGGTAGTCATTAGCTTTAAAATGCAAAGTGTTGTGATTTTTTTATCTGGTATCAGATGTGAATGTTAGTGTTTTAACAAAGCCATTAAAAGCCTATTTTTGTTGTTTATTACTTTAAATATTTTTTTTTTAGTTATATGAACAAAACCTGAAAATAAGAGGAATATCAGAAAATATACTCCCTAGCTATAAAGCCTTGGGCAAGATAATTAAGTTTTTTGTGCTGGTCTCCTTATTTATAAAATGGAAATGATAATATCTGTGTCCTCAAGGTATCTTGAGGATTAAATGAGGTAGTCTCTATAAAAGGTTTAACATAGTGGGCCTGGCACATAATTAAGTAGTTAGCTATTGTTTATTAATGTTTAAATTTTACTTCAGTTTTTACAAAATGAAATCAAGGTTATTTATACATATGTTGTGTGTGTGTGTGTGTGTATGTGTATGTATAAAACATAGTGCATACAGGAAAGGTCTTTTGAGTTTTGCCTACTGCCAGGGAGGCTAGAAAGTAGGGGACCGTCTCGGAAGCCATATTGGCAGTTAAAACATTGACGGTATCTTCACAGTGGCAAGGAAGAGACTTGCCTTGCTTTGTGCTAGGTACTACATAAAGTCCATGAAAATGTTTTACTTAATGGAATTTTATTATGAATAAAATAATTTTGAATATATGAGAATTAAAATCTAGAGGTCTTGTAAATGGAAAAATTCAGAGTAAGAAATGTTGGCCTGTGTTTCTGTTTATTCATATAGATTCTTTCACTTTTGCTCTTTATTTTCTTAGTGAGAACAACAACGATCTTTGTTGATTGTTTCATAGGTCCACTCGGCTGTTGAAGAAATGGATGGATTAGATGATGTTGAGAACAGCATGTTGTATTACAATCAGGCAGTCATTCTTTATCATCTGCGGCAGTACACAGAAGCGATAGCAGTTGGTGAAAAACTTTACCAGTTCATAGAACCTTTTGGTATGTTCTGTAAAAAATTTCCCTATCATCCGGGGACTTGGGTGGCTAAGTCAATTAAGTGTCTGACCCTTGATCTCAGGGTTGGGAGATCAAGCCCCCTGTTGGGCTATGCACTGGGCACAGAGCCTGTTTGGGATTCTCTCTGTCCCTCTCCTTCTGCCTCTCCCCACTCTAAAAAAAAAAAAAAAATTCTCATATTTGCAGTGGCCTCTGGTACTTTTACGTAGTTAACCTAAATCAGGGAGTTGTCTGTTAGTATTTAAAGAAAGAAAAAAAGCTGTGTAGGTTTTCTTAATAGCTAGAAAAGATAAAAATGACATTTTTAGATGAACCCAGGTTTTCTTTTAGCGTTTCTTCCACTCCTCAATTTTTTTTTTTTAAACATCTCATCTACTCATTTGAGAGAGAGAATGAGCAAGAGAGAGAACATCAGCAGGCGGAGCAGCAGAGGCAGAGGGAGCAGTCGGCTTTCCACTGAGCAGGGAGCCCGTTGTGGGGCTCGATCCCAGGACCCCCGGGATCATGACCTGAGCTGAAGGCAAACACTTAACTGACTGAGCCACCCAGGCACCCTGCCCACCCCTCAGTTTTTAAAAATGACTGTTAGAAATGATGTTTCTGATTGGAAAGACTTAGTGATTTTTGTTTTTCTCTGCTCTTTGAATACCACCTAGTGTACCCAATCCATTCTTACTTGAGCAGTGTATTAAGGAGTGTTTGGGGATGTTAAGGGACAGTGAAATATTTTGTCTATTGCCTCACTGACGTTTTTGTGGGTAATCAAAGAATAGATAGTACAGACTATGCTAGCTTTTTTGGTATCTTAAGTTACTTATCTTACAGTTACTAGCCTTGAATAAGTATAGTAAGAAAGGTGAAGGCAAAGGAGCAAAGAGGGAGCAAATAAAGCAGCAAAGGCAGACTCAGGAAATGGTTGTTAGAGAGGGCTGTTTGTTTCCAGCCCACAAGCAGTCAGATTTCAGTTGTGATTCACATTTTTGTCTTTTTCTCTATTACTTTCCTTTAAATTCAAAACACTAATGCCAATTCCTGATTTATAAACGCCTGATTGCTGATGTGGTCCCCACAGGACAAGAGGTGGAGTGTGATGGCTCCTCTGTGGGGCTTTGGGAAGAGTTACAGGGTCCCCTTTTGCTGCCAACTGTTGAACAGCTGCTTGCTGTGGATCCAGGGGGTGCATTTTCAAGGTGCTCCTCTTCTGTGTTGAGGACATGGTGGCTGGACAGATTGGGCAGGAGAAACACCAGTGGTGAAGATGGGGTAAATTGTGACCTTTCCTTTTTATAAAGCTGGAAATCAGAATTATACTTCTAGGATGACACAGATGTGTTTTTCTGTGAAGCAGGGGGGTGGGCGGGAGGGTTGTTTGTTTTTTGTTTTTTGTTTTTTTTTTTTTAAAGATTTTATTTATTTATTTGA